GTAAGTTGCTTCTACACGACGTTCTTTGCCGCTAACTGGAATGCCCTGTGTAACCCGACCGATTTTCAGCGCCTATTTTCTAGACAGACTAATGAGAATTTTTGGAAAGTAGGCTCAATAGGTAGAGCATTCGAATTAGTTACTACTGGTCGCTCTGCAATCGCCTGCGGGGCTCTAGATTGAGTTTCAAAGCCTAGTGGTACGAGCATATCCGGTAGCCCGACCAACGAACGTACTTCTGACATAGCGACCGAAAGCTCCCGCATATTTATAACACAATTTCTACTCTCGAAGAGGTCAAACCGCCCTAAAAACTTTTTTACGCACTGACCTTCAAACATGGAAGGCCATGCTAACGAGGTTGCCTGAAGCCGACAAATGCAGATATTTAAAAATTCCGTCTGTCCAGTATTCCAGCAACGGATCATATACTACTCTTTACAACAATGAAGTTATGTTTCAAACCCCTGCCTCCATAAATTCGCCATAAATTCATCCCCAGATGGAGGTGTCTATATCTTGGGCGGGGGTTATAACGCGTTTCGATGCAATCGTATCAACTCGAACAACTCTCGTAGGTCGACCCATATTAGACATTAGGTTAAGTAACTTTCAGTTGCTCAGACCTAAATTCCCACATGATGTTATTTACCGCAAAACGAACTGCGCTGTGTAACCTGACTGATATTGACAGCCTACACATTTTTGGACAGACTAATGCGATTGTTTTTGATAGAAGTCTCAACTCAGTCTCGACCCAGTGACCAAAGACCCCAAGTTCGGATCCTGGATGTGCCAAACATGGGGTTGGGCATGACTGGCTGATGACAGCAAATAGGCCAGAAATGGCCATTCCAGTCTCCCTTGTCTTTGTCGGTAATCTCATTCTGCCTATACTCACTCTGCAACCACCTCCAGGGCCCCAAAAACACGGCGAGGCGAGCATGTTCGCTAATACGATCGACGAGCGTACTTCCAAAATAGCAGCCGGAAGTGTCCGCTATGTTAAAGATGCTTAGCAGATACCTTTAGCTTCCTGCTTCCAAAAATGTTGGGCTCAGTTGCGAAGACTAGTGTTATGCATATGAGGACTTTGGAGTGAGTGGCCAGGAATTTAGGAGCAGCCTCGCCATTTCAGGTTGGAAGCACATCAGTCGACGGTAAATTTTGTCTGGTTTAAGAAATACGCGACAAAAGGCTCTCCTTGTATCATTCTGATGAGCTTTTTAATATGCATCTGTTTTCAAAAGACATTTTGGCAAGAATACGTAAGCATTCGATAGATTCTCATCAGGCCTATACATTTATATTGCTATCGAAGTGATTAAAAAGAAAATTGCGAGCAAGCTGAAGTTTTTTCTGTAGCTGGAGTTTGGTGGGGGGAGGGTCTGGGTGGGTGAGGTGAAAAACGAAATGAACGTCAGTGTCAGGGGGGAGAAGACGATAGCGGGCACGGGGGACGGGTAATTATACGCAGGTGGCTGGCATGGTGGCTTTGGCCCATAGTAACTATGGGGTCTGCATATGTTTGCTAAAAAGGCGAAATCTATGGGCTGAGAAGCTGCAGTATGTGACCTATATCATGAAACATGTTTTCAATTAGAGAGGATTGCTCTGGCGGGGTTGCGATATGATCATCACGCAGATTAATACTGCGTAACTGCAAGCCTGCCCGGATGACGGCTTTTGAATGAGTCCCGTTCCGGCCGCCAGCAGAAGTCAAGACTGGATGAAAAATGACTCATTGATTTTCGATGATCTTGGAAATTCTAATATGGAGGCAGTTATTTGAATTCCAGGGAAGAATAAGATTGGTTGAGCAGCAGAACCATTTGTTCGTTTGTCCGAGCTTTCAAATTCGCACAGGAGTCGATCGTCAGAGATAAAAGCAGGAGCAGAACAGCCGAAAATTGTGGAGAGTACTAGCCAATCAGAGGCCAGTGAGTCATGTCTGGGGTTGACTATGCAGGGCTATGTATGACATCGCCAGATCTATACTCATGAGGCTGTTGAAATTTTTTCGATACAATTTCACCATTGCGGGAGGAACCTAGAGTCGGACCAAGGGAACTCTAATGGTCTCCCCAATCTCCGGTTTACTGGCAAAACTGGCCCTACAAGAGTTTGGAAAGACTGCCTTCATCCAACATGAACCAGTCTTCGACGCTAATACATGTACGACGCATGTGTTATTGTCGAGACGAAGATGTTGCAGAGTTTCCATAACCTGTTCGACGCAATCTCCCCCCATACACAATTCACGAGGGAGGAAGAAAAGGAGCAGTGGTTATTCTTCCTTGGTATGTTTGCCAGGCGAAGTCTCAAAGGCGAATTAGAGACAATGGTTCAGGGGATGGCGACGAATACCGCGCAACTTTTCAGTTTTCAAAGCTACCATCCGGTGGCTCATGAAAGCATCTGCGTGTGTGTGTGTGTGTGAACAGTCTTCAAGCGGGCCCAGACTTACTGAAGCAACCTCGAAGAAGGAAGCACGCGAGGGCGTTTATAAGCCAAAACTGGCG